ATATGCTGCGCGCAACAAAGAGTTGTTGTTGTATGTAGCGGAGGAGGGAGGTTCAATGGCCGGGTGAAAAGAGCAAGTGATATCGGCCACAATGTTGGGAAGGGGAAGACAGCAAAAAGCCGAAAAATAAAACGGAGAGGGGAGAAGGGGTAAAGGACAAGAAACACAAGAGAAGGGAGGGCCAGAGAGAATAAGATTATGCCTGTCTGTCGGGCTGCGACGATCACCGGGATGGGCAAGCAGGGGAAGCGCAAGCAGTGGTAGGATGGCATGAATATCAGAAAAACATACCTATTCGGTTGTAGGCCATGGTTCACGGTCTTGCAACCCACGGGTGTGTGTTGCGGTGCAGCGCGAGGTATGCGAGACGGGTATAACAGTGATAGTTGGAGTCGTTGTTACAGTTGAAAAGGGGGGTCAGGACGTCGCGTCGCAGCTGTTGGTCGCGGGAGGGAGCGCAGGAGGGAGAGTCGAAGATGCAGTTGAAAAGAAAAGGAGAGAAAGGGAGAGGAAGACGGAGCATGCGATCGCAACCACAGACAACGATGGCAGTGCTGATCCTTTGCCTCCACGCGGCCGGGGATGGTAAGTACAGGGAGACTTGGACAGGTCGAGGAAGGGTGCGGCAATGGTTGGAATGTGTTTCGTGTTTGAAATTCTCGAGGGTGGTCCTCCTGTGGCCCCCTTGGCGGCTCTGTGCTTGGCACGAATGCTCCAAGCTGGGTTTTGATGGGTCCCGGTAGCCCCTTATTTTTGGGTTTTTGCTTAATTGCGTCGCCGCAAGCCGTTTAGCATAGAGACCGTTTATCGAACGTATCACTCAAATGCAGCCGTACGATATCGTCTCAGTGCGTCTTGTGTGTTGTTGGTGTATTTTCCCCTTTTCCAGTTTTTAGTTTTGGACGGCACCGTCTGGCGTCTCCTGGCGTATCTGTTAATATCGTTTTGCCTCTGGCTGGTGCTGTTTTCTAGCTGAGTTTCTCTCCTTCTCGAGATTCACTTGATGTTTTCGGGGTCCTCTTGTACCCACTTGGCGTGTCTCCTGCTGGGGCGACGGCAACGGCCAACAACAGGAGTTTCTTCTCACGCCGGTACCTAAGAGGGTTCACCAGGGGCAGAGAGAGCGTGAGGCTGTTTTACGGCGCAGTCGCTCACGGGCTGTAAGGGTTGTAAGATCTGTAAGCAGCTGTGGAAATTGTAAGAATAGCGGAGGACGTGGCCCTGCTTCACAAGCGTAGGCGAGGCGAGAAACTCAAGCAAAAAGGCTCTGATTTGTCGGAAACGCGCAGGTCTGAACGAGGGACGTTTCACGTTTATGGGGGATTGTTGGTGCTGCAGGAGATGGCGGAAACACAGTGGAGGAGATGACCGGGGTGGGTGGTAGCCAGGTTCCGTCGCTGGTTGCAGGGGTATATGGCGTACAAGAAAAAGAAGAGATTCAGAAGAAGCGACGAAGAAATTGAGGAGAGAATCTTCAACAAAAGTTGGTTCGACGTAAAAGGGAGGATAAGGGTAGACACTAAGGAAGGGACAACAAAGAGACAGTAACGAATCCGGGGAAGGAGCCACTTTGTCACGATGCAAAAGGGCGAGGGAGGAGCGCCCGAGGGAAGAATTTTGCCTCTTTGTGGAAACTTGAACAAGTTCGCTCATGCCCTTTCTTGGCTGGATGTCTGATACTCGGGATGCTGAGCCACCCTTTTTTAGAAGGCAAAATATGCCTTGGCGACGGGGCAGTCTACAGATGGTTCAGCATGCTACTTTTGGTTCAACGCCCTTAAGAGCTCGGTGTGCATAGTCACTGGTTTGAGAGGCCTCTGCTCTTTTTCTTCTGCAGCGCAACGCTTTCACCTGCATGCGAAAGGGGCAGGAAAGGGCAGGAAATTGCAAGAGAGGTGCCTGCCTCTACTGTTGCGATATGCAGTCTCCCAGTTACAGAAGTGGAAGTGGCGATTGCGGTAAAGTGCGCGCCAGGAGGAAGCGCTGGTGGGGCCTGGGAAACCGGCCTCGTCTAAAAATGAAATCAGTGCAATGTTTCAAATTAGGGGCGGCGGGAGTTGGTCGCAGCAAGTCTCTTTTTTATTTCCATTTCCTTGCCCTGAGTGACGTAGCCACTCGCGACGATTGGCCAGGCGCAGGTACGACATACACGCATACAACATGCGACTTGGAGGATCTGGCGGAATGGACGAAACACCCGCTGCAAGGCGCAAAGCGCAACACTCAAAGCGGCTGCCACTGACGACCTCTGTCTGCCTCCATTTTACCCGTTCTTGGTTTGTTTCTTGATACTTCCTTCCCCGTTACTATACATCTTGACAAGCACCGGGCATATGGAGTGATTAGTATGTGTATGCACTTGTCAGATCATGGAATTGGCAAGAGGACCCTGAACTGCCTACAATAAGGCACCGACGCCACTTTTCCGCCGTCAAAACAGCAGCTGCGACGGAATTAAACTCGGACGCCCTTGCGCGTTTTGTGCCCATGCGCTGCAGATCGCCGACATTATCCCCTGTAACCGGAAATGGGGAGTGACAACTGGCAGACATTACTAGGGGCTTGCAAGGAGGGCCAAAGAAAACCAGAGATAAGCGTAAGATAGCTCCACCTGGCCAAAAAAAATGCGTACACACAAACGCTTTTTGGTTGAGATGTCCGCACTGTTACAGTGCTAAATTAAAGATTTCTTGCACTGAAAGACTGCTAGAACATTTTGTGTGTACGCCTTTTTTTGTCCAGGGGGAGGATAGATACATCGCAGGTGCAGGCTTATGCGCTGCTGTGAGGCCATTGCCCTCGAATTTGCCCGCGAACATTGGCAGACTGTGGGGATCTTTAGCGCAAGCCACAGGCAGTTTGGAAGCTCGGGAGGCTGCCAGATGCCAGAAGTGGCGCAAGTCAGGCACGTAAAAGGAAAGCCATTGTGGCGTGTGTTATATTTAGCACACAAAATCGCCACCAGCGAAATGCAACAGCCGCCAAAGAGGCAGCCTTCACAACCAGTAGTGCAGTATATCCATTTGCGCTTGAGCAAAGCTCCAAGATCACGAGGCCAACTCCGTACTACGGCGAGGCAAAAGACAATCTCATAGAATGGTTACGGGCGTTCTTTATGCACCGCCCCCGTCTAGTTCGACTTTAAGCGTGTTCGCCCTCCAGCCAATAAATGCAAGCTGGCACAGTAAAGCAGGGATATACCTTGGGTCGCCTTCCAGTGGACGGCCGATCGAAATGCATATCCCCCATACTTCTGCTTCGATTGGTTCACGGAGAACTGTGATCTCTGGTTCGTATCATGCTTTTCTGCTCTCACTGGTGCTCTTCGTAGCCTGCAGGTCGAGCAAGCTTAACTCGGTGAATGCGTCTCTTCCTGGCTTGTGGCTCGATCTGGTGCCATTAGCTCTTAGCCTCTGCCTTCCTCGGAACAACCAAGCCTTCTCTGCAGTGCAGTCGTAGTCCCACAATGACATGTCGTGAAGATGAATGCGGTTGCCTGATAAAAGTCACGTCAGCGACGAGGCTTGTGCAGGTTCCCCTCTGCGTCCTCCGGCCGTACTTGCCATCGTTCTACTCCGGGCACCGGGCTTTGTGTTCTGGCAAGGTGACAACGGAACGGTAGCTGCAGGCAGTTCGACGGTCACAGTAAACTAACCAGCGAGTCAGTTTTCTAGAGGCAATCGAATATGTGTAAGAAGTAGCGAGACCCAGCCACCTTTGTTGTCGAGATGACGTCAGGACAAAGCGGCAAAGGTAGTTGTAGACAGCCAGGCGTACTTGGAGCTGACGCGAACATGATGAGATAAAGGTCAGATTTGAAAATAGGAAATGTTTAAAAAAAAATCATGGAAGGACGGTCAGACATTGTCAGAACGAAGGACAACGCAAAAAGTCAACTAAAACGACGTACTCAAACAACCATCCTTTAGCAACTCCTCGTTTCGATCAAGGGACCTCCGGGTTATGAGCCCGGCGCGCTTCCGCTGCGCCAAGTTGCTCTCGTTGTTTGCGCTGATGAGTTCCCCGGCCCCTCTTTTCGCTACATATACTCGATATTATGCAAACCGTATAATCATTGCTTGGGAACAGGCACCAGGCTATCATGTCTGCTACGGCAGTGTGTTATTCCAGAAGATTAGCACAGCTCTCTCGTTCTTGGAAACAAATGTTAATCTCTGCAGGACACAGAAAAATGGGCATATCATCTATTTTGTGTCACGTGGTCGCCACGGAAGTGTCAAAGAAACTGTGATAGAGAGAAATCAGCCATTCTGTTCGCGATATAATCAAGAACATCTCGGTGCATGTTAAGCTTCTGTTCGTAAGGGGCGCTCTGTCTCCAGTGACGTCTGGCTTTCTGACCAAGCCAGTCGTTTGTTTCGTTGTTTATGTTTTTTTTTTTTCTAGCTTAATAATTGTTATTTCGGTGCTTATAAAGGGTTTTTTTTAAAAAAAAATAAAATAAAAATAAAATAAAATAAAAAAACAGTATTGACTAGCAAATTTATAAACGAAACTAATCTGCACACAAGAACAGGGAACAATGAAAAAGAAGCCGGCAATGCAAACATACATGTCCAGGCATGCTCCTGTCCTCTTTGTCAAGCAGATTTGTAGTTAATGCCTGCTAGGTGCCCAAACAAGCATAGCTCCGCGATCGGTGCATGCCAAAGGGGGGAAAGAGCAGACGAGAAAAAAAAGCGACTATGTGGCCGAGTCACACGCAAATGTCTCCAAACGCCGACCGAAAGCGCGGATTTTTCTGGTAGCCACGCGATAACGGACAACGGCGTCAACTGACAACTTCTTACAAACGACCCAATTCGACTCAATTAGACGACAGCAGCTGGCCATCAGCACTGACTGGCCTCCCTTGCAGCGACGACTTTCTCCTCCTCCGATCCAAAACGATAGCTCGACATCTACGGAGTACGACGTACCACCTCGAGCTTTACACCCACACCCTACCACCCGTTTTTACCACCCCCTCGACCCCCATGATGGCCACCGAATCTTTTGTGATCCGCACGCCGGCGTCGTCGGCCAATATTGGCCCTGGCTTCGACGTCATCGGCCTCGCGCTCTCCCTCTACCTCGAGCTGCACGTCACCATTGACCGCTCCAAGACGCCGTTTACGGCGCCGCTCAACTGCCGCATCACGTACGAGGGCGACGGCGAGGGATCGGTGTCCCTGGACCCGGATGCGAACCTGGTCACCCGCGTTGCGCTCTACGTGCTCCGCTGCCACAACCAGCGCAGCTTCCCCGCGGAGACGCACGTGCACATCAAGAATCCGATCCCGCTGGGCCGCGGGCTGGGCTCGTCGGGTGCGGCCGTGGTGGCGGGTGTGATGTTGGGCAAGGAGGTGGGCGGTCTGCACGACCTGACGCCGGCACGTCTGTTTGATTTTTGTCTGATGATTGAGCGGCACCCGGACAATGTGGGCGCGGCGCTGTTTGGCGGGTTTGTGGGCACGTACCTGAACCCGCTGAAGCCGGAGGACGTCGCGCGCAAGGAGATTCCGCTGAGCGAAGTGCTGCCGACGCCGGCGGGCGGCGTGGACACGGGCGACCAGCCACCAGCGCCGCCGCTGGGGATCGGCCACCACATCAAGTTCCCATGGTCGCCGACAATCAAGGCGGTGGCGATCATCCCAGATTTTGAGGTGGCCACGGCCAAGGCGCGCGAGGTGCTGCCGGCGGAGTATCCCCGTGCGGATGTGGTAAGTCACAAACGAGAGAACTAATTGGGTTGACGAGGAGGAGGAGGAAGAGGAGGAGGAGGAGGAGAAAATAGCCGAGCGAGGGCGAGAAAAACAAAGCTGACAGTGGTTCAACAGACCTTCAACCTCCAGCGGATAGCACTGCTCCCGGTGGCGCTGGGCCAGTCGCCGCCCGACCCGAACTTGATTTACCTGGCCATGCAGGACAAGCTGCACCAGCCGTATCGACAGACGCTGATCCCCGGTCTCACCGAGATCGTCGAATCGATGACGCCCAGCTCGCAGCCCGGTCTGCTGGGCGTGTGCTTGTCGGGTGCGGGCCCGACGATCCTGGCGCTGGCGACGGACCACTTTGACGAGATTGCGGAGGAGATCATTGGGCGATTTAAGAAGCAGGGCATCCAGTGTAAGTGGCAGTTGCTGGAGCCGGCAGAAGGCACACTGGTGACGCGGTCATCTTGAATGTGCAGCAGAGTCTCTTAAATTGGTGTGCGTTGTTGGACCTATACATGGACGGCTTTGGTCTGATACCCGAGAGAGCAGGATAGAGGGCGATACGTAACTGGCGAAACTATAAATGCATCTTACCTCATACACTAGAACAGACGATATTCGATTCGTGCGAACACGGTAGTGTGCGCCTGCCAGTAAGATGAGCCGTTGGATGACCGAGATTGCTACGCAGTTAAAGCCATTTCCACATCTTACTGATCCGTCATATGCATCTCCTTTTTTGATACGACGTCGCCTGGAGGAAGGAGCGTATATGTACGCTTGTGTCAACCATTTTCCCTTTCATCGGCCATGCTGACATACCCGGTCCCTTCGTTAGAGCCCGGGCAGAAACTCTGGGAGAAGTATGCCGCTCTCACGGGCTTGTAGTAGAGAACAGTATTAAGGAGTCTAGGCCGACTTTTGCTCTCTCCATGCCTGTCTTCCAAACGTTGTATCTCCGTGATGAAGGACACTGCATTCCGTAACCGCCGAGCGGCGCCGGTTCGCATATACGGACGGACGAAAGAGCCTGTAAAGCGAGGCTGAGGGCGCATCTGACCGGTCAGAAGGGACAATACAAATGAAAGTACGGTCTGTGAATATTCTTCGGCCGTGATTAATGTGACTGCTATGCGTATTCTATACCATTTTCGTCTTTCGCCACAAAACTCCCTACAAATTAGGCCGTGCGTCCTGACTGGCAATTATTGTTTCCTGTGACCCCTTTCTATTTCTCACTGCAACCCGTTTGTTTTGTCTCAGCGTAATTCTTCCTTTTGATCAGCCTCTTCCCATCCTTGACGTGGGAACTACAAGCCTCCCTCAAATGTCGAGTGCACGCCGTTTCCTGTCGCAAACCATCAGAGGTTATGGTGGGGAGGTAAGAGCAGCGGCTTACAGGGACCTGGGGCACGACAGTGCTACTATTTTAGTGGTTGTCATTGATGATAGTACGGGCTGGATAGAAAACTGTAATGTTTGTGATGCCAAAAGTGTAACAGGCCGCTAGCCACCTTACAGCTCCAAGGAAAGACAGAAGAGAAATACAGAGAAATACATAAAATAAATATTAGCAGAAACACGCTGCGATTACACAAGTGCCTCAGGCTGCCATTGGTCCAGCTGGCTTCCTGCATACACTCTGTCTTGTCGTTTTCGCTTTCGCCATAAATACGTCCAATCCAAGCCCTTTACACTTTGGAGGGTCGCGGTACGGAAAAGCTGCATATGAGGCGCCCGTGAGCAGGAACGCGCCGATGGGAGTGAATACTTTCCGAGACGGCCATCGCTGAACGTTATTTCACCGGCCTCGACTTTTTGTCCGCGCAAAAAGACGCGCTGTCGTCTGGCAGCGCTCGTGTATCGTTGAGCATCTTGACGCTTGACAGATGGACGAACGTGTCATGGTGTGACTGGGAAACGAGAAGGTAGAGGAAGGAGGCCGTCAATAGTTGATAGTTGTTTTTGCACGCCCTATTGTCACCTTGCTTTGGACGTAGATATCCTCCCGATGCGATGGAGGGAGATATTGAAACAAGATGTTACTCGATGTTATTCGACGTATGCTTCGAGACAGTCGTACCTACTGTTTCAATATTTCTACAATTTTGGTTATCATGTGACACAAGTCGGGGCATGCACGGAAATGGAAGGAACAAACCGATAACAGTCAACAATGCCATCTTGCCCTCTTTCCCCCAAGGCTCTGGAAAACTTAAAAAAACGGACTCGTCTGGAAGTGGCCAATTTGGCAGGCACAGCCCGTCAAAGGAAACGGGCAAATGACAGTTGCCAACGTTGAACCTGCCAAATTGGCCTCTCCATTGTTCGGAAACAGCCGGCCACTGTCAGCAGTCATCGTGCCACTTGGGCTTGTTAGTGGTGCCACTAAGAATGCAGTGCCTCACGGTGGTGCCACTCCCCCGAAAAATGGTTTAGTCGAGCGCAAAAGCGGACTGACCAAACCCGGGTAGATCCCGTCCCTCTGCTATTCCCGGTGCCCGCAAAGTTTACATTTACTGACTTTGGGGGACACTCAGCCCTGCGAATCCCTGCCCACTCCATAGACAGCTATTCTTTGTTCTCGCGCCGCGTACGTTTGCTAGACCGTTATTCACCGGTTCGCGGACTTGCACAATGAGTTCCCTACCTTTCCCTAGTCATCTCATGTTTATCATCCAGAATGGCATGATGGAGTAGACAAAGAGAATCACGAAGCGTCCTTCTCCAATTGAATATTGGTCGCTTTACGCCTTTCTTTCTGTTTTCTCCTTCACTGGCATTCCCGAGTTTCGTCAACTGGGCTCCATCTGAACAAGCACATCGTAATGCTATGGAACTCGCTGGCCAATACGCTGCAGACGATCAAATGTCGGACTGGGACGGCGAAGACGAGATGCCAATGGAGCGAACACCGACATGACTAGATGGGCGCTTGGGCATTGGGCTAGAGTCGCTGCCTGGCCATGATGAAGGCGAGCAATAAGGAGAAGGATTACAATTACTTGGCCATCATAATTTGCCCTTTGTTTCTAGTCCTGTCCTGAATTATATCCCATATGCCAAGTCTCCGTATTGCCCTCACATATAAAGACACCTCGGCTATCCTTCTTCCTTCTCTCATTTTTATGTTTTATTTCTCTTTATTGCATCGTCAGCCTTCTGATCAGATTATTTCATCCTCTCAACACTCTTCATCCAATCAACACATCACCACTCGGTGTTAATATAACCAGCTTTTATTTTGGCAACACCAACTACTACCTCCTCCGTCTTCGTCATGTCTCCCATCATCGCCCGCGCTGCCATCCGCAATGCCGCCGCTACCGGCCGCCGCCAGTTCTCGGTGGTGCGGTCCCTGCGCAGCTTCGCTCGGTCTTTTGAGCCCCATGTCTTCCAGCGCCTGCCCGTTGCCGGTGACGCCCAGGCTCCCGACTACGGTCGTCTAATCAAGCGGAGTGGCAAGACCATTGCTATGTATGTCCATCCCAGCTGCCACATGATATCAAAAGAATCGATCCCCATTGCTTACTCCCACTAACACCTCACTCTAGCTACTTCCCCGTCGCTTTTACCATCCTGGGTTGGCCGATGATCGCCAAGAAGGGCCTTGACGGCCATGTCCACTAGACGATCGTTTACAATATTGTTTTGGGATTTTCATAGAGGAGCACATTTTGTATTTATATTTTTGGAGGGGTGGCGTTTTATAATTATCCTTTATTTTCGTCGAGTTCCCTCGAAGCGACACGTGTGCCATCTAGAGGCATCAATTTCTTTCTCAGCATTCATATTTCTTCTGTCGAAATACACACATCAAACTCGAAAACATATGGCAACCATGAGCATGGGGAACAGAAACCAAATTACATAAAAATTACCCACCAAATTGTCGGAATCTCAGCCGTGTTTCAGTTCGCAGCAACCGATAACAAAATCAGGGCTCAGGCACCTGCGACCTTTCGATTTCAACTCTCAATACGCCTTGAAGCAGTTGCGGGTTTTATTCCTATGCTACACACTCCCCTGACATAGTTTCTCCGATAATATCCTTATTGTTTAGGATGCAACCCTTGATGCAATTTTGAATAGACTCTAGACGCCAATTCATTGCTAAGCGCTTTCCCTCTCCATCTCCCGAGACCGGTAATTATTGAAATCTTGTTATCTCCTTACAACCCTGGCTCCAGCATATAAACCACCAAAGAATCCGTCCACGCTCCGTTCTGGTTGCTGACATCACACCGACTACCGGTGTAAGTCAAGGGAGGAGCCTACTGTAGGTGACGCCACAATCATCTGCGCCACACTAACTCTGGGGAAGTTGTTTGAGAACACAAAATCTAGCGTGGTCCGTGCTCTTTCCTCGACAAAACAATAAACTAGTGCAAATACAGACTAGCGCAAGGCACGCCCCTTGGTGTGCTGTTTTGGCGCGTTCGTGTCTGCATGTAATTTTGGAGGGCCCAGGAGAGACAAGAGCTCTCCTTTTGCGAGACAACGACGACATCCGAACGACGACATATCCTCTTGACGACGGCCAACTGCCGAATAAGTGACATAGCGGCGTCTTGAAACAGCGGTAGCGAGCGTATGTCCGTTTATGATTTCCTTTGCTACTCATACTGTTGTGGCCCGCGAATTTGCTTTTCCCATTCTCCTGGCCACTTTCTCCCGGATACAGCTGGACAATGACCCGTGGCCGTCACGGCTAACTGGCACTGCTATCGACTTATCGTCTCGACGTGCTTGACGACCTGGACGGGCTCAACGACGACCTCGGCCGGCCTACCCCGCCCTCGAACAACCAGAGGAGCAGACGCGCCGCGCTAGTCGCCTCTTGAGCATCCAGATCTTCCTCCATCGGCAACACTCCGTCGACTCTTTCCCCCTCCGTCATCACACAATACAAACACATACACATCCGCAACCATGGCGGAAAGTCTTCACAACATCCCGATGGTCATTGATAATGGCTCAGGGACCATCCGCGCAGGCTTTGCTGGCGAGGACCTGCCCAAGTGCTACTTCCCGTCGTTTGTCGGCCGCCCCAAGCATCTGCGCGTGCTCGCCGGCGCCCTCGAGGGTGACTGGTTCGTCGGCCCGCGTGCGGCCACTGAGCTGCGCGGCCTCCTGAAGATCAACTACCCGCTCGAACACGGCATCGTCACGGATTGGGACGACATGGAAAAGATTTGGGCGTACATCTACGACGAGGGCCTCAAAGTGCTGAGCGAGGAGCACCCCGTACTGCTGACGGAGCCGCCACTCAACCCGCGCAGCAACCGTGACACGGCCGCGCAGATTTTGTTCGAGACGTTCAACGTGCCGGCGCTCTACACGTCGATCCAAGCGGTGCTGTCGCTGTACGCGAGCGGACGGACGACGGGCATTGTGCTGGATGCGGGCGACGGCGTGAGCCACGCGGTGCCCGTGTACGAGGGCTTCGCCATTACCAACTCGATCCAGCGGATCGACGTGGCCGGCCGCGATGTGACCGAGTACCTGCAGACGCTGCTGCGGAAAACGGGTTATGTGTTCCACACGAGCGCGGAGAAAGAGGTGGTGCGGCACATCAAGGAGGCGACGAGCTACATTGCCGTGGACCCCAAGAAAGAGGAGAAGGACTACATGACGACCAAGTCGGACCCCAAGAAGACGGCCGAGTTTGTGCTGCCCGACGGCAACAAGCTCAAGGTCGGCCCCGAGCGGTTCCGTGCGCCCGAGATCTTGTTCGACCCGGAGATTATCGGCCTCGAGTACCCTGGCGTGCACCAGATGGTTGTGGACGCGATTGTGCGGACAGATCTCGACCTGCGCAAGTCGTTGTATGCCAACATTGTGCTGTCGGGCGGTACGACTTTGACCAAGGGCTTTGGTGACCGGCTGCTGCACGAGATCCGCAAGATTGCGGTCAAGGACATGCGGATCAAGATCTTTGCGCCGCCAGAGCGCAAGTATACGACGTGGATCGGCGGCAGTATTCTGGCCGGTCTGAGCACGTTCCGCAAGGTATGCCAGTTTTCACGGGAAACAGAATCATGAGGTTGCCGTCCATGACTTGTTGCTAACGAAAATACAGATGTGGGTCAGTATCGACGATTGGCACGAGAACCCCGACATCATTCACACAAAATTCACGTGAAGAGACAAATGGGGAGAGGACAAATCTCTCGAGGCGGCTGACAAGGAGGGCGATATGGGAGGCGGCGATACCGACCTCACACAGGACACAGCAAACAAGCCAGAAAGGGAAACAATGCAACTTGACGACAACAAGAGGATGCCTTATTTATTCCCTCTTCGCTGGCCCATGGCATCAAAGACGACGGACAGGTACATGTCCCTTGCGTCTTCTATATTTTTTTACACACATCGACACACACATACGCAAACCCACAAACGCACACGTATACCTACATTATATACAATACATCTCACACCCAAGGAGGGAAGGATATGGCCTATTAGGAATAGATAGAAAGAGTATATCACCGACCGATAGTGAATCGATAGCGGCAGGACGGGGGGAAGGGGGAGGCCAGGGCGGGCAAGAAGGGCGCACTGAAATGATACCCTTTTTCGTTGTATACAAACAGGGAGGCACCCAAATTTAAAGATTTTACTTGTTCACAGACAGAATTAGTCTCCAAGATGAAGAGATGCAGAATGCGTTTGTATTGTAGGTATTAGAAAAGAGAACGCCTCTTTTTTGTGAGTGAAACAGAGAAAAGCAAATTGGGTATCTTTGCTTTTGTTGACTTCCTTCCAGTAATTTTCCAACGAGAATAAAAGGCTATGAAATGCGTTACTAATGAAATATAAAGAGAACGCCGGTCCGCTCGGTTGTGGTATAATCCGGGAAAATGACTAAGAAAAATGAAAAATAAAGAAACTCCGTAATGCTTCTCGTCCATGATATTGTTTTCGAAAATCAGAATTAAACTTTTCCGTTCCGCAGTTGAATAATGTGATGAAAAAAAGAGCGGTCGTTTGACTGTATGTCCAGTTGGAAAGCAGGATGCAGCAAAATCCGCAACACGGTTTTCGGTCGCTAGGACGGTCGTCGTAAAAATCAAAATTGGGTCGCTAGGACGGTCGTCGTAAAAATCAAAATTGGGTCGCTGAAAAGTGGTCGTTGACAGTCGGGTCATTATACAAGGAGAAAGGCAGAAGAATAGAGAAGACGAGACAAGCTGCCAGAGCCAGTCAGATCTCCATTCTCGCCCCCTTTAACGGTGCATGCGGCCCCAGAAGCCGCTCCGCCGGCCCTCTTCGCTGCTCGTAGTGCTCGCGCCCGAGACGGAACTGGCGTCGCTGCCTTTGCGGACGAAGTTGCCGGCAGACGAGGCGCTGCTGCCGTGACCGAGGCCATGGGTACCCATGCGGATACTGTGGGCAATGCGGTCGGCGGTCGACAGGACAGGGCCGGACGAAGTAGAGCCCGACGCCTTCTTATGGTGAGACGAGGACGACGATTTGGACGAGTAAAAGTTGCCGGCGCCACCGCGGCCGACGTAGCCACCGGTGCTTTGCGCCTTGGCGGCCGCGGCCGAAGCGTAGATGTATTCGTCGTCCAGAGACGTAGCAGGACGCTTCGAGGCCGGGTAGGCGTTGCCGGCGCCGCCACGGCCAGCGTAGAAGCGAGTGGACGTGTGAGTGGCAGATGAGCCCGAGGACACTTTGGTCAGGGGCGTAGGGATGCCGGCAGCAGGCGTGACGGTGGTAGGAGCGCGGAAGGTGTTGCCCAGGCCGCCGCGGCCGGAGTGTGTGTAGGCATTGGCCCGCACGGTGGGATGTGGTTCGGTGATTGTGAAGGGCATTGTGATGGCTGTGGGTGTAAGTCGTGGTGTGAGGGGATGACGATATTCAATGTGTACGAAGATGTGAAGCTCGTGATGTCAGTGTTGGTGTACTTTAGATCGTTATATACTTGTTGTATATTATATACGTGTATGACATTCGAGAGAGACGAAAAGTGAAGGGAAAAAGCGAGTGACAATAGGAAATATATGAATAAGAGGCCACGATGTTTAAGAGCTTTTCTCCCCATCCAGGCAAATCATTTTTGACGGGGGGGAACAGCAGAGCAAAAAGAGTCAGACGTCCACCTGAGGGGCGTGTAAGTAAAAAGCATTATCATGTATTAGCTGAGAAACAGCCAGAATTGCGTTGCATGGTGGAATGGGTGGATTGGTGTGTCTGGGCTTTTGTCTGGGGAATCAACGAGAAGGGGGGTGTAAGCATTGGTGCCCCCCTGGCGAACTTTTGTAGATGACAACATTGTGGTCAGCTCAAACACAATTGCGCGAGGAGGGAAGGCGCGACGGCAGGGAGGACAGCGACGTTAGCAAGAGAAATGGCAGCAGGGCAAGAGGGGCGTAAAGAAAAACTTTTCCAGCAAGAGCAATCCATGGGGTAATAGCAAGGCAAGAAAGACCCAGAAAGGTAAAATTTTTCAAAGCCGCCTGGCTTGGCTACAGGTCACAAGAGAGGTAAACTTACAGAATACACGCCCCCAGGATGGAAAGTGCGGCTTTGCAGAGAGGTGGAGGAGGCTCCCTGGCTCCTTCCCAGCGAATGGGCCGAGTGGTGGCAACCGCGTGATGGACTTTCAGGCGCTGTGACCAGCTCTCTGGGCAAGCGCTGGGCGGTCTGCTTCAGGTGTTTTCAGCGCGTTCCCAGGGGGCGTGCTGGCACTGTTGGCAGTTTGCGTGATCACGTTGCACGATGCGTAAATGGGATCCTCCTCCAGAGTGGCCATTGGCATATTACCGTTACGAAATGGCGGCTGGCTTAGTGCATCACGAGGCCCCGCCCCAGTGGTCATTTTGGTCGTTTTGTCCCCCCTGGGCCGTTTTTGGGTTTCTCGTACCTAATTTTTAGTCATGGAATGCCGGTACGTACCTTCCCCTCTCAGACATGAGAGACATGCGAGACAACCACTCTGTTGCAGCAACTTGGCGAAAGCAGCAGCGATCGTGGTCCAGATGGAACTTCCTCATTGGCGTCGGCTGGCCTCAACAAGTATTATGCAATTATTGGACAGACTGTCAGGGCGAGGAAGGTACACAGCTCGGAGTTCCATGTCGGACCTCATTTGAAGCTTAAACTATGTTGAAACAAGGTCAATTGGGTTGCCCGCCAACCTTCGGGGGACAGCAACACGATGATGCCAGCGCTGCCAAACTTGTGCCACGCTGTCTTGTTGTGATTGCTGAGGCAGATCACCTGCGCCACGACAGCCGGCCTTCGCGTGGCAAAAGGCAAAATAGAACATCGTGAACATTTTTTATACCTTTTACCAGGGGTCGAGACAGTCAGCTCCGAAGTAGAAGGCTTCTTTCCCCTCCTCCCATTACAACACAGGCTGCTACAATAGCCTTACGATTCCTACCAGTCCACTTTTCGAAGGTCCAAGTGACCCATTTTCAGGGAGAGGAGGAGAGGTTACGAGTTCAAAGAGGAGAAAGAAAATCTGATTGGGACAAGAGTCTTCATACGACGTATTGCGGCCATAGAATACAGACAACGACGACACGTAACGTTCGAATGGAACCACATAAGCCGGGCATCAATGGTCCTCGCGCTTGACATTCACAAATCGTGAAATATCACAACAAATGGAACGAGCTCTCTGTATGGTATGAAGAGCATCAAGCCCAAAGAGGTACAGGCGTCCAGAGGAAATGGTGCAGCAGGGGGTGTGTTGTGTTTCTGAAGACGATTCGAATCTTCTTTTCAGCTAGCACGTGGAAGCGGCTAGGAGCGGTATTGAGCAAGAGTAAAACACACACAAAAAATACAGTTCAATTGGGCTGTGGCGCTCTGCGGCTGACCGTTTGGAAGTCACGTTCACCTCGTAAAATTTACAAGGAAACAGGCACCGTGACCCGTGAGAGCGAAACAACGAGGAAAGAGCGAAACATCAACCTGTCGTAGGGTCACGGGATCACGGAGGTCAGCGGCGACAGCCACAGCGACGGCCATCGGCGACTGCCTGTTTCCATTCTTACGACTACAGTTGAACTTGACCTCAGACTGGTAGGCGCGAGTGACCTTTCAAAGACTTTTAGCGCGGATACCGTAAAGGCCATGCGAAGACCTGGCTGTGCCGCCAAGGCAAGCGAACTCCAGCGCACTTCCATTTGTTGCTGAGCCTACATTTGGTGCTTTTCTGGGGAAGGGACAAAAACTACACCCACAGCACCTTTGGTTTTTTTTTTTTTTTTTTTTTTTTTTTTTGTCTTCTTAAGCAAGCCCCCATACAGTGAACTGCTTCAAGCGAGCGTGTATAGGTGACCGGCTCGCTCTCATCTGCCGTTTCTGTGAGGACCGTGGAGAGCTGGGGCTGGCTGATATAATGTAACTACGGCGAGGTGAAGGGAGGTGGTGGTGCAAAGTCCCGAAATACTGCAGAGGCAGAAGAAGATGAACTATTATTGACTTCTCGTGCACCCAGAGTGCAATGATGATTATGAATATCTGTTGTCGCAAGGAGGTTTACAACATGGTGACAAAATCCGCATTGGCATCTTCGACGTGAAGAGAGATCTATTTTCTGAAAGTAAAACTCCACACCGTAATCCATGCAACGGATCGTGACTCTGGAATAACTATTTGCAGCTTCAAAGACACCTGCAATAATTTCATGTGCATCCACGGTGAGATAAATTGGTGAACTTATTTTAATTCATCACCCCAAACCAAATCAGACAAAATAACACAGCAGTACGTCGTAGCCATATAATTTTGTCGATAGGAAGCCAAATACTGCATCTCCCCCCACCACAACACTGACTCCTGTTTCTCTCACACACGCAATAAGAATGTATCACACGGTGGTGAGCACTCCTGAGTGCACTACATCAGAGAATGGATAATGGAGACAAGCTTCTTGGTTTTTTTCCTACTTCTGCCATTACCCAAATCCGACTTCGTAATATCGTGTGCATTTTGTGCCCTAAGCGATCACAAGCGACACCTTCAAAACGGCTTCAAGAAAATGAGCACTTGCTTGGTTATTTCGACATGTAGTGCAACAATTTTCAACTGTCAAGGACACCAAGCTCGTACTTACTCAACAATCCATAAAGTGTCCCGTTTGTTACGACATCGTCTGAGAAAACGGGGATGAGAGAGGAGGACACAACGTCAGGAGCATCAAAACGGTCAAAGCGCCGTCTGCATTATACCCCGTTGTGCTACATCGTATACTCGGCCAAGAAAAACAAAGTAGTACAGTAACTCCGAGGAGCGGCTCCTAATCACTCAATTGTCCCCATATTCCTATTTCTCGGTTGTCCCCGTGGTGTATCTCTGGCTATATTTTGTAGTCGTCCACTTCCGTAAGACATGAATGGAACACACTGGCAATGGGTTACATGGTGCTACAATGTGATGTGTCTCTCAAAGCCGCGTTGACACCGTTGTCTTCCATCGCATACACAGATAGAAACGACAATGTAGTGGGGGGGGGGGGGGGGGGGGGCGGCAGGAAGGACGGACACTGCACTTATTGACTGTTACTGGCATATATGGAGAGGGAGATGAGTTAAGTATGGTATTACAAGATTGCTATATACCGCGCTGTCGGTGATGTAAAAGCAAAATGAGAGACAAAAAAAACAAAAACGAAATATGAAACCCTATGCTATCCTCTTTTCTTTAAGATCTGACTATCCTCCTTCTTTATTGTTCTGTATCAACAATGCTGGGAAGGCTTTGTTGTGGTTTCATCCAGCAACCCATTTTTGCCATCTTGCGATCTTGCCATCTTTCTTCACAAATGTCGTAATCATCATGAGAATATGCATCATGCCAGCTGTGCGTAAACAACACTCCAGAAGCAAAATCAAATGTAGAAGCGCGCCCATCGCCTGTTGCCGTCCTAATAATTCCTTCTCTTCCTCTTTGGTGTTCTCAACATGTCGTCGACATTGTCCTCCCTATTTTCTATCCGTGCGTGTGCTCCTCCGTGTAGACGAGACATTTTAAGTTGTTGGTTTGCGACGCCGTGGTGTTGCTGACAACTGAATGTTGGAGTGTTTCCTGTTTAAAACGTCTCGGTATCTTGAGAGGCAATCGTGCCGAAGGTGTCTGTATCAAGTGTTAGTTTATTTGTTCATAAAAGAAGTTTGTGATTTTCAGTCACAACTTACTTCTCTTCTGTCTGCGTGGGTCGCTTCCAGGCTCCTCGTCGTTGTAGCTACGCGCGCTTCGCTCACTCTTCGGAGTCATCGCCCGAGGACCACTGGGACGCCGCGTTGGCGCTGTCAGCGCGCCGCTCAAGTTGCGATTCTCAAACCGAGGGCTGCCGGTGTAGCTCGTCGGGACGTGTGTGGCTGTTCCGTATCCGCTCTCCACGCTGTGGTACGGAAGGGGGCTTGTCTTGGCTGCCTTGGTTAGGCGCGCCGGACGAGGTGGCGTTTGTTGCTCTCTTTGGGCATCCAGAGGTTCCTTGGGAGGTCGAGGCGGGCCCGCCTGCGACTGCGAGCCCTGGGCGGCCCCGGCTTCCCAGTACTGCTGCTGTTGCTGCTGCTGTGTATTTTGCGCGGCCGTGTTGCTGACCGACGCATCACTGTACCGGTTGGTGTTCTGACCTGGGAACCGGTTCAGCGATGTGGCAGAGCCGGCCCATTCGGCCGATCGGGGGCTCATCGGTGAGTCAAAGTCGGCTGCCTGTGACTCCAGGGCGGCTTTGAAGGGCTGACCTGACCGCGGCTGAGGATGCTGGAGGTTGAGAGAGTCGCGATGCGCCCGGTACTTGGGATCTTCGGGCGTCATGTATGACTTGGGGTTCGGAGGGAGAATCTCCGTGCTGTCGGGGGGTAGGTGATAACCGTGGATGTCATCGTCGAACTGGGGTTGTTGGTATATCTGCCCGCCCTGGTGGGCATGCTGCTGAGATTGCTCAGGCTGCGTCTGATCGAGGTAGTTGCCGCCATGAATGATGTCGGTCTCAGAGAAGCCCGAGTGGAGCTTGTCTCCTGGCGTGGGCTCATAGCCATCGTACGCCGCGAGGTCAGAACCCGACCGAGACAATCCACTATGGAAGCCAAGCTCGTCGTTGTCCTTCTTGGAGTCGCGGCTGCCCCGGAACACGCGTCCGACACTAGACGTTGTCGTCTCCGACCACCTCGAGATCTTGGGGAGCCAGCTGGACGAACTGCTGGACTTGTGCTTCTTGGCCTTTTCTGTCCGGGGTGTGTTGTCGTTGCTCTGCGGTGCTTGCTGCATATGCAGTCGGGGCTCAGAGTGTTGTGATTGCTGGTACTGCTGCTGCTGGTTGTCTTGTGATTGTCTGGGCGGCGTTGCGAGCAGGGCTGAGCTCATCTGGGGAATCGAAGCAGGGCTGCCAAAGCGCACGTTACCAGATGCACCTCCAGCAGCTACGTTGCCGGCTGGTCCATTGCCAGGTGCGCTGCCAGGCCCCTGGTCGTATTCCGGCTCGTCTTCGTTGCCTTCAGGCACGGTGCTGATCCGATTGTCGGAGAACTTGCGAGTCGATTGAATGAGGCCGCCCCGCGAATTAACGGATAGGAGGCCGGACTGGCTGGCGTGGCTGGCAGTGGATGTGCCGGCCTGGCCCTCGGGTTCATAACCACGGTCGTGCTCATAGGCCAATTGGGGATCCATCATTCCTTCGTACGGAGACGGTCCGTGGCCACTGGCACTGCCGCTCAAACTGATGCCACCGGGTCCCACACCGCCTGCAGACTGAGCCTTGAGAACATCGACTTGATTTAGCAGCTGGTTAAGCATGTCCTCAATTCTCGTCAAGTCGTTGTTTCCCTTAGCATTCAGCGACTTGAGAGCACGGCGGAAGAT